TTTTGTTGTTTTTGGTCAAGAATAGAAACTCATAAAGTCTAACTCATTTGTTAAGAAAATCTGAGGAAAGTAAATGTTTTACAATCTATATAATATTTAGGAAATTAAGCATAGCACAATTTGTATAGATATAAATTCAGTTTTTCTTGTATTTTCAGAAAAATAAACCACTGGTAATATGTTATCATATTCTATTTTCAAGTTACCCGCATTAGTAAAAGTAACATTTAGCTGAAATGAAAGAAACAACAAATTATCCTATTAAATATTTACTGAACTCCTCTTGTATACTGTGGTTCTTATTAAAATTACATGTAATACAACATATAACATGTTTTATATAAGTTTTATGTTATATGTAGTAATAGTCTAGTATGTAGTAGCTTGCCTGGAGAAAAACAGCTTTCTGACATGTGGGTTGGACAATATAAATTTCAGTATTCATCAAGACCCAAGACCAAATTCCTTTATGGTACTCACCATTTTGTGTCCATATCTTCATTTCCCTATTAGAAGACGTAAGGACTGATGAAAAATCTCCCCTTTGGTTGTCATGTTGGTTTCATTCATTTGATAAGTATGTATTGAGCATCTACTATGTGCTGATACTGTGAGGGCCTCTGGGGACACTGAATGGAAAGATAGATGCAGTCCCTTCCTCATGGAGCTGTCATTTTAGTGGGGGTGGGGAGGCAGACAGTAATCATGTCAGCAAAGGGTTAAGAAGAAAATAGACCCTGTGTGATGTGACTGAGAGAGAATTTTTTTGGGGGGGAGGGTGGTGCTTTGTTTAGATTTGTTGGCTGGGAAATAGGAAAAAATTTTCTTCTGACAACCATATTACCAGAGAATCTTCTGAGTTGCGAGCTGACATCTTGCTTGCTTTGCGGGAAGGGGAAGGGAGGACTGTTTGTCTTGCTTTCTTCTGGGAGTACACCGAGAAAAATCCCTAGCATGAGGCAACATATTACTGTTTTTAGGATAAAGGTTCAAAAATACCACTCTGGTCATTGTGAACCTATCCTCCTGACGGGTATGAACTTTCAGGTCTTTAAAAAATGAGCTGTTACGAGAAATGTAACCTAGGAGGAGAAAGAACCCAAGATTTGCAACAGATTTCACTTGAAATCTTCCTCCCTTTTCTCTAATACTGGATGCAGTAGAGTGACTACTTGACCAAGAGACTCGTTTTTCTATTCATTGTTATTTAGCCGAGAAGTATCACTCTTCACCTTGGTGTAGCCTATTTAAAGATATCTAATGCATTTTGCAAACAATGAAGAAGAATTATTTATTATTATGTGTGAATTGTGGCAAATTTAGAAGCCCAGGGAGAAAACTAAGACATTGTCTCTTTCCTTGTAGATTAAGGTTAAGGTGCCAAAATGGTGATAATTACTTTATTTTAAAGTGCTAATATAATAGTGAACATTAACTATAATGTACTATTTCAAGCCTATTTTCAACCAATTTTTATCATTTTCAACAATAGTACTACTCAAGAAAATTCAATAAATAATTCTCAACCTATAAATATAAGACTTTATTTTTATATGACCTTTCTCTTTCCTCTTTCCCCAAACTTTAAAATTATGTTTTTAAAAAGCAAAAAACAAAAACAAAACAAGCAAAAACCCATGACATCCACCAGACGCAGGTATAAAATGAGGAAGGGATCTTTCAACGCTAAAACAGCTAAGCCTGTCTATGAATGAATCTGTCAAGCCCCTAACCCACAAAGGTTTATAAATAGATTTCAGTATGTACTGCCTTATTCGTTATTTGTAATAGAATGTTTATCATAGAAAATACTTGACATAAAAAAATTAAATTTTGGTTACTGTTATATTGGGATTCTTATAAAATATTTTAATGCATGTGTACAGAGGTCACCTCTCACTGGATCCTTAATCTCAGCATGTAATGTAATCTTTCTGCACCATCTGGTGTCTTAATTAGAGCCCAGGAAAAGAAAAGACTTATTCATGTAAGCAGGATTATATTTATGACCTGGGAAATATTTGTGGGGTTTTTTTTGTTCCAGTTTATCATTTTAAACATATTACCACCTAATACAAACTGCTGTGATTGGATATTTACTTTGGTGCACATGGTAAAGTGAAAGAGAGACAGACACTCTAACAGAGACCAGTTGCTGCTTAAGCTTGCAAGTTTATCTGAGGTATAATTAGGCTAAGCATGAACATCTGAAATATCTTTACAAAGTAAACATCTTAGTTCCTCTACCAAATTGAAAAACATGGCAACATGAATGTGTTTACAGCTCTGTATTTAGCTGTTTGACACTATGTGACATTTACCCATGTAACAGACCGAAATTGTGTCTAAATTATTGGCACCATGTAGACATAGCTCTGGATTATTTTCTATTTTTTCCCCATGAATAGATGCTTAGGTTTTAAACCTACTTAGCCATAAATGATTCCATGCCTTGGACATTTTGTGCAATAAAGATTATTTTGGACTGATTTACAATGAATTGAAACCCATAGGAGTGTCATTTTGATGTTTAAAACATGCTTTTCCTTTTTATAGATAGCTGCTGCTCTGTGGTGGTACTTTGTATCTAAAGGAGTTGAGTATTTGGACACTGTGTTTTTTATCCTGAGGAAGAAAAACAACCAAGTTTCTTTCCTTCATGTATATCATCACTGTACAATGTTTACGTTGTGGTGGATTGGAATTAAGTGGGTTGCAGGGGGACAAGGTAAGCATTTTCAGGATGTATCTGCATGTGTTAAATTACATAAATGTGTTGGGTGGAAAGTAATGAAAACCTGGAAATTTGACTTGTTCCGTCCTTTAACTTGATTACTTGGTTAATCACTTCCATATTCATTTCATTTTTTAAAAATTTGACAAAAGTAAAACTTCAGCTTTATAACCATGACGACTTTAATACCTAAAGATTTATCTCAGAGATGAACATAAACCAAGCTTAGATGTAGAAAATAATATTTTTATGGGAACAGTTCTAGTGGGGAACAGTTCTCATCCAAAGGATACGATGACACAACCCCTCAATCTGAAGATTCCATCTTCAGTTCAAGCCCAGAGCTCACTCCTGCTCTAACATGGGTTGAGCTTCCCTAATTGAAAACCTGAAAGCTGAAATTCTGCAAAATATGAAACTTTCTGAGCAGTGACATGACACCACAAGTGGAAAACTCCACACCTGACCTCACGTGATGGGTCACAGTCAAAATGTAGGCTCATACCACACAAATTTACTCAGCATCCCCAAAGGAAAAAAGACTCTCCTAGTCCCCTTCAGCTACAATGTACCTTTTCTGCATACAGCATGATGGTGATGTCAGACAAGTATAGATTGTCCGCACGGGTGGCTTGAGATGGTGACACCTTTGCTTTCTTATGCTTTTTTATGTTCAGTGTACATAAAGTTTTGTTTCAGGCACAAAATTATTTTAAAATCGTATAAAATTACCTTCAGGCTATGTTTAAAAGGTGTGTATGAAACATAAATGAATTTGGGTGTTAGACTTATTCTTTCTGCAGGGTGTCTCATTATGTATATTCATATATTCCAAAATCTGAAAAAAATCCAACATCTGAAACATTTCTGGTCCCAAAGATTGCAGAGAAGAGGTACTCAACCTGCGTAGACCTTAAGTGACCTTACTGGTTCTTATTCAAAGGAAATACTATATAGCCTTGTTAATGTTAAAGAGGATCTGAATTATAGTTTGGCCAAGATCTGTCTCCAGTTTTTTAAGATCCCTATAAATTAAGGATGATTAATATCATTGAGCTAGAAACAGACTATTTCTCTGATGAGGACCCAGGGTATAAGTCATGACAGTATAGTTCACCTTGCTGCTTTGCATTATCGTATTATGGTAATTGGCAACTTAGAAATTCACACTTATAAAAAATATTATTGGGGGCCCAATTTAAAGCAATGCAGTTAAAGTCAACCTCTGTAATTTTAAAAGAAAATTAGTAAATCTGAACTGACCTCTTTAATCATTTTATGACAAAATTCATTATTATTGCATCTGTACTTTGATTTAATTAATATTCTGAAAAGAAAGCGTGCCATTGATTTAGACTGACTGGAATATCACTGTAGATTTTTATATACTAAATGCATTATTCAACATGTTTAGTTCTAGCATATTTAAAACTATTTAGAAACCTAAGAAATAAGTATTAGTTTGTTGTAGTTATGTAAATTGGCACATCTAAAAGCAATAATGGAGCATTTACAAATCTACTGAAATACTTAAATGCATTATAAACTTTTTCCCCCAAGAATAGTAGAATTGAAAGTAATATAGGCAATAGTTCTATGTTAGAGCCTACTTAAACTTACTGGAGTACCACTTTGAAAGTCCATTGCATTTGAACAGCACACATTTTTATTTATATGGTAAAAACTCAAATCTAAACTTTAAAAATACCTACTTAATCTAAAGGGAAGGCTTTTCATTAGTACCACTTCATATTTTTTATTCCTAATCTATACTCAAGATTAAATGTTAGAAAACAATGTAGATGGATTTATTTTATATCTCAGTGGTTTTATTGACTAATAAAATTTTCTATATGTTGTAATTACCCCTTGTTTTTCTAAAGCATTTTTCGGAGCGCAGATGAATTCCTTTATCCATGTGATTATGTACTCATACTATGGGTTAACTGCATTTGGCCCATGGATTCAAAAGTATCTTTGGTGGAAACGATACCTGACCATGTTGCAGCTGGTGAGTTAAACGCTTCTAGTTTCTTCTGGTAAAAGACTGAAAATGTTTGAATTTTATTAATTGTAAAGTGCTAAGTTGTTTTAGACAGTTTTCTATTCCAAAATTAACTTTCTCTCTATCATCTAGTCATAGCAATTGAAGCTGCTTAGCTCTAACCTACCAATTCACAGACTATTGATCACAGCCACTTGCTTTTATAACATCCTTAAACAACTAGACATACCATTTATCCCTCTAAGGGAAACATTCTTTAAATGTATTTGTGGAAGGATGATTAAAGATCTAAACACCATACAAAATATATGGATTCATGTATGACTTGAAAAATGTTTTTTCTCCTGGGATGACTTTTTAACTTAAAATTTTCTTACCTCTCTTCATTCTGTCCTTGCTTAAATTTTCTGTTTTTATTCCATTTTCCGGTCTTTGTTAGCATATCCCATATATTTTGAATATAAACTTGAAGAGAAGGCATGGGGCCAAGGAAGGGGGTGGGGTAAAGGAAGAGAATAAGGACCAGAGAACTCCTTGTAATTTTCTAAAACACTGTCCTTAGAGAGCAGAGCCAGGTATTTTCAAATGCTAGGCTTTATACTAAACAATTTTCAATGCATACCCCTAGTAAGACTTCTTGTAGCATCTGGGTGCATGTATCAGTGCAACGTTGAGAGCTAGGTACTAGCCTGTAATCAAACTGAAAATCCAAAACCAACCTGGTAGCTATTCTTCAAGCTTTAGAATGTATTATAATTTGCTTTAATCATAGCATGTGCATAGTTTTATCAGTTGAATCACATTTGGAAATATCATCCATCTCTGCTTTAAGTTGCCAAACAGCTAGCTAACCAAACAGGAAGCACAACTTTTGGGAAATGCTGGGTGTGAAGGATTCATCTGTAAGCAAAATGCTATAGGAAGCTTCCTCCAGTTTTGTGTAAAAGCTGTTTGTACAGTCCTGTATAATTCATTTCTCTCAGTAAGTAGTAAATGGTCTCAAGAAAACGAAGAGGGCCGGGCGCGGTGGCTCACTCCTGTAATCCTAGCTCTCTGGGAGGCAGAGGCGGGCGGATTGTTTGAGCTCAGGAGTTCGAAATCAGCCTGAGCAAGAGTGGGACCCCGTCTCTACTAAAATTAGAAAGAAATTAATTGGACAACT